TCTGCACTTTCAAAATATGATTTTAAGCAAGGCATTGTGAGGGCACTCTCCCAAATACATATGAAAAATTATCATAATATCCTGAAAGCTTATGTTTAAGATCTTTGCCACTTCCTGTCTTCTTTCTGTATAAATTACATTGTCCAACACTTTCAAATTATGAGCTTTTATTTCTTTCTAGGTTTTCTGCAGTGTTCATTTGTTTGTAACAGTGTCTCCCAGGGTCTCAAACCAGGTATTCTTCCTGCCCCAATCTACAGTGTTGAGATTTATAGGTATATACCATGTCCAGCTCAGTGATAGTTTTTGTAAATAGTATTTTCCTCTTTGACTCTAAAGCCTATAATTTAGCCATAAATCTATACAGTTTCCGCAGTTTTCATAATAAGAATAAGGTAAATTACCAACAAATCTCTTGGCTCAAATTAAAGTTTTTTGGCTTCTACACTATCATTTGTTTAAGAATAAGAATGCAATTCCCAAATCCTTCTTCACTGCTCTGGAACATCAGAACTTCAGGTTCTCAGCCTTTAGTCTCATGAGTGGAGGAGAGTCATGACTCACAGAACCCTCCTCAAGCCTTCAGCCTTCAGCCTTTCTCTGATTCTGAGCCCTTTGACCTTGTGGCTGAGCCACCAGCTTCTCTACTTCTCCAACTTACAGATGGCCTAGAAGACTTCTTAGTCTCTGTAATAGAGCATATCAATTGCTTTAATAAATCCTTTATCTTATCTCCCTCTCTTCCTACCTCTTCAACAGAGAAACTAAGTTTAATATGAATAACATTTTAAAAATTGTGCACTTCGTGTATGTCCTTCTTCTTTACACACTTCAAAGAAGATGTCTACCACTGCTCCCACCTCCTGGTGCTCACAGTTAGCCCAATGAGCTCAGTGAGCTCGCTTTCCACAGCTGAGTATATTCCTTCCCGCTCCACAGCTTAGCATGCTCCCTTCCTAGGCAACCTAGGCCCATTTAGTAAAGGCAGTAAATAATCAGCCTCCAACCCCCTTTACCTTGGGATGGCACTTCTCTGGGGCACCTACCACCATATAAGGCAACAAGAGCCCCTTGGAGTGACCTTCAGGTCTGGGCAGCTGCAGGGCCCCTTATCTACTATTTGGATGTGTGGACAGTGGCCCACACATCCACAGCAGGGTTTCTGCCTCCTAGCCCCTTCTAGCCTCTCCTAAACACCCTAGGTTATATAGGCCGCCTCACACAATAGCCACTACTTCTCACTTCTCCCTTGTGAGAAGGGTTTTGCCTGCTCCTTTCCTGGCAATAAACATTCCTTTGTTCTCTGTACCTGGATGTCTGCATGGTTTTCTGGCAAAGTCCAAATCCTCGGGTTTGGACCTAGTGTTTCACTCCTAACAAACAGAATATGACAAAAGTAACAGTATGTCACTTCCAGGATTACAAAAGCAGTGCCTTTCATCCTGCTCACCATCTCTTGCTACCCTGTGATATAGAAGATGTTTCCAGGTTGTGAGCTGTTCTGTAAAAGACACTCACACAGCAAGGCAACAGGGTTGGCTTCTTGCAAACACCCTGCACAAGGAACAGTGGCCCTTGACCCAACAGACAATGAAGAACTAAAGGCTGTCAATGACCTTGTATGAGGAACAGACGCAGATCCTCCTGCTGAACTTTCAAATCAGACCACAGCCCTAACTTATGTGTTGAATGTAGCTTTCTAACAGACCTTGAGTTACACTCAGATTCTTAAATCAATAAAAAAATGAATCAACCAAAAATTAATGTTTGTCCATTAAATTGTGGAGTAATGTATAATGTGGTGCTATAGATTAAACTGTATCCCCTAACTCTTAGCATCTCAAAATGTGACTTTACTTGAAAGCATTAAGTGTTACAGAAAGTTAAAAAGAAATTGTTAGGATAGGCTCTAATCCAGTACATCTAGGAAATCTGAACAGAGAGAGAAGATAATGTGAAGAGCCATGGTTAAGAAGAAGTTTGAAATAGCTTATTTCACCACAGACCTCAGAAGAAAGCAGCCTGGCCAATACCTTCATTTCACATGTCCAGCAATGTAGCACATGTATTAAGGCAACAAATTCTTACTTATGCCATAGTTTTCTTACAACAGGCTTAACAAATCAATTCATATAGCAATATATAACTAATACACATATTTAGTTTGAAATAGTTTTTGTCTTGTGGGTTAGCTCAACGGAAGAGCATTTGCTTGATATTCACAAAGCCTGGTTTTGACCCCCGGCAACCCTAAATAAACAACTTATCAACAACATCAAAACTAGGCCTTGTAAAGGCTCAAACAAATGTCGAAAGATCTTTACTCAGAAAAAAAGATAATAATCCATGTCAGAAAATCTTAGGATCACAGATTTTTACTGAGCCGTGACTCTAAAATTAGGTTACACGATTGTAAAAAATTGGTAATGAGGATGATATGCGAGGAATTATTGGAACACAACTCTCAGAGCTACCACTATCATGAACTCATTTTAAGATGGTAGTAAAGCAGGGCACATCTGTCTTCCAGCTACTCAGAAGACTAAGGCAAAGAAAGGCATGTGAACCAGGAGTTTGATACCCACGTAGGTGACATAGATAGTAAAGACTACAGTTTTTAAAAGATAGCAGGAGCTAAGCTCATTGAATGGATAAGAAGCAAATGGCAGAATTGGAATAAACTGAAGAGAAAAAGTGATTTATCCAAGATGACATTTTACAGCTGCTGAGCAGTGACTAAATTTAATGACATTCTCTCCTACATTCAGGTTTGTTTTTTTTTTGCAAAAAGTCAAATAAAAAAAAAGGTTTGTCTTTGGCCAGCTTTATCCATTCCTTGTAGTGCTGTTATTTTATAAACATATATTCGATCATCTTCTTCCCTCTTCTAATCAGTCTAACACAATTTCTTATTTTTTTTCCTGAAACCCATAAAATACTGCCCTCCAATTCTAATACTTCTGCTGTGTTTATGTTCATGCTTTTAAGATATTGGTCCTCAAGATTCAAGTGCACAGAATTTGAGAAATATAGCTCCAGCTCAACTTTTTCTCCCTTTGATTATATAGGATTTGACACTCATGCGGGTCTCAAGCTTGCTGAACAGAAAAAGTTTCTCTACTGCTTGAGCCACACCTCCTTCCCCTCCTTTACTTCTTCAGTTATTATCAGGTAAGACTCTCATATTTTTGCCCAGGCCAGGCCCACAATCTTCCAATTACACCATCCATATAACTAGTATGATAAGAGTATAATACCATGTCCTGCTTGTTTGTTGAGATAGGGTCTTGCTAACTTTTTGTTCAGGCTGGCCTTAAACCATATCCTCTTGATCTAACTGGAATTATAGGCATTAGCCACCATGAGTGGCTTAGCTCAGCTTTTAATCATAACTAATCATCTAAAGGAATACTGGCACGCTAATTATTAACCACCCATATTTAGTAGGGATAAGTCACATCCTTTTCAGAGAGCAGGCTTTGAAACAATGACCCCATGCAAAGTTTTCAAACGACCCTGCCTTAACCCTTGATTTGTCTAGGAATCATTCTGTTCTGAGAAATCTTAGCTGGTACAGTTAGGCCTTTATTTGGCAGTCTAAATGCAAAACACACAAAGCCTGGGAAGTGGTAACCACTACGAGTCACATCACAAAGAAAGGAAACATGAAGACAGACAGTCCCCAGAGCAACAGTGAGGGACCTGGGCAGATGGGAAAGCCCTTTGCTGAGGGGCAGGGAAACCTGGCCCTGGGTTCTCATCACATTATAGCTACACAGCTTTCCTGAACACTCCCTGGCCCTTTCTTTGTTACACTAACTTGTGTTGATCTGTTAAAAAAATTATCAAAAAGGTATCCTCTCCACAGCTGAAGAATGTTATTGAAGAATAATCCACAAAAAAAAAAAATAATAAGCATTCTGCTGGGCACTGCTGGCTCACACCTGTAATCCTACCTACTCAGGAGGCTGAGATCTGAGGACCATGGTTCAAGGCTAGCCCCAGAAGTAAAGGCCAAGAGACTCTTATCTCCAATAAACCACTCAGAAAACTGGAAGTGGTGCTGTGGCTCAAGTGGAAAAGCACTCAGAGTGAGGGACAGCACCCAGGCCCAGAGTTCAAGCCCCACGCCCCCCCACACACACAAAAGCTTTCTAATAACCACAAGATGAAAATAAAATTAAGGCATCTGGGTATGCAGAGTACTCTCCAATGCTTTGCCACACTACTCGCTACTTCAACTGGTCACTCACAGTAACTACAACAGATTAAAAAGTTCCAAACACTAGAGTAGTTCCAGTCTATAATCCTAGCTACTCAGAAGGCTGAGGTCTGAAGATCTTAATTCAAAGCCTTTCTAGGAAAACAAAGCCAAGAGATTCTTATCTCCAATAAGTCACCAAAATATCACAATTGGAGATGTGGCTCAAGTGATAGACCACCAGCCCTGAGGGGAAATTAAAAAGGCAAAAAAAAGTTCTAAGCCCCAGTATCTGCACAAAGAAAAAGAGAGGGGGGGGAGGAAAGAAGGAAGGAAGAAAGGAAGGAAGGAAGGAAGGAAGGAAGGAAGGAAGGAAGGAAGGAAGGAAGGAGAAGGGAAGGGAAGGGAAGGGAAGGGAAGGGAAGGGAAGGGAAAGGACGGGAGGAAAGGAAAGGAAAAAGGAGGGAAGGAAGAAGGGAGGTTGGGAGGGAGGGAGGGAGAAAGGGAAGAAGGGAAAACCACAGAAGGCCTCCAATTTGTGATGGTTTGACTTATATGACTTTTGTGTCTTTATGATGGCATAAAACCAGTTTATTAAAATGTTTGCTTTGCATTTTTATCTTCTCCTAGGTAAGACAACACCCTTTCAGAGGTGGCAAGTCACAGCTCCTTGTCCACCATGAGATCATGAGTGTGATTTGTACTGTGTGGCTAAGCTATAAAGTTCAATAGATCAGAAGCACCAAATACACTTACAAGTTATGGCATTTTCAATGTGTAATGGGTTAACACATCATACCTCAAGGAACATCTGAAGATTTTTCCAGGAAAAAAAGACAAAGAAAAGGATGCTTAAAAAACATCCTTGGCAGGTACCTACAATAAAAGCAATCAATGGTGTAAAGCCAGAATTGCAACTGAAGGTAATTTATATCAATATAGTTTTTCTGTGCATAAAATTAAAAGCTGTCAAAGTTTACCCAGCCACCAGTGCTAAAGCAGGACTGAAACCTAGGATTTTAGAAACACAGTTCAGAAGATTTGGTACTACTCAATAATACAGCAAAGACAATCATATGGCTAACTCTAGCTCCTTTCCCAACAGATTAAAAATAATAATAAATTTCTAAAACTGACCTGATTCTCTGTTCTGGGCTGGCATGAACCTGCAGAGATACAATAGGAAAAGCAGGCACTTTCTTCCTGAAGCACACCTGAAGAAGCACTACACCTGTGACGAAGGAAAGGAAAAGAGAACTCAGTTTGTATATTGAATTTAAACTGACACAGCATCATCTATTTTCTACTAATTCTCATTACTTGTGGCTTTATTAATAGAACGCATAAGAACAATTTAAGACATAAAATTTGCTATCAAATAGCTATAAAAATATAAGGTCCTTCAAAGCTAGTCTCTATAAGCCATTTGGCTCAGTGACTTTGTCTGATAAGGAAACAGATGCAGAGAAAATTGTGCAAGGATTCAATGAAAATGCAGTTATACGATGGGAGAGCCAATTCTAAAGCCAACTCTCCTCTCCCAGGCAAGTGTTCATCGTCCAGTTAAAATCAAACCATCTTCTCTTTGGAGAGAAAACTAATGAATGTTATGTCTCTATGTGTAACTATCAAGAATGAGAAGATACATGTCCTATAGAAAGAGCTAAAGTTTATTACTTCTAATTAAAATCATAGCCAGGCACAGATGGCTCACACCTGTAATCCTAGCTACTCAGGAGGTTGAAATCTGAGAATTGCAGTTCAAAGTCAGCCCAGGCAGGAAAGTCTATGAGACTCTTATCTCCAATTAACAACTATTCAGAAAAAGCTGGAAGTGGCACTGTGGCTCAAGTGGTAGAGCACTAGCCTTGAGCACAAAGAGGCTTAGGGACAGTATCCAGGCCCTTAGTTCAAGCCCTAGGACCAGCCAAAAGATAAATAAATAAAAATCAGAAAATCACTTCCTCCCTCACAAGCCACACTTTAGCCTCAAGTGCTTTATTACAACTTACACAGAATATTGAAATGTTTCTTAATATACAAGTCAATGTCAATTTGGAAGTGCATGCATATGAATTGAGAAGCCTTAGGTTATTGATTTTCTTAAGTCTACTCTCAATAGGTCTGTTATCTTAGTCAGTTGCTCCACTGGTTCTAAAGCTCCTTTATGAAAATACGAGGAATTAGGTCTTTTTCAAAGAAACACTACCTCAAATATTTTCTAAGAAAATTTTTGGACTATTTTCTCAAACCACTACTTTAGTTATTCATCCAACTTATCAGGTGACTTATCAGATGATAAACGTACACTCAGGCTAAATGAGATAGGGGTTTTCAAACAAGAAGCCTCTAATAAAATATATGGTCTTCTTAGGAGTTGCAGTGACACAGGACAGTAGGAAACAGTGATGACATGTCTCCTAAACTGTGACTTCAGAATATGCCTTTTTGTTTAACATACTCATTTCTACATACAACACTTACTTGGAAGATGTTCAACACAATTCAAAGCACAGTAATAAAATGAGCATTTAGGTACGTGTCACCCAACTCTAGAACTGAATGTTGTTACTAGGACTGTTCTCATGACTTTTTCCTCCTCGTCTCCATGCTGGCCCCTCTCTTTTCCTCCACTATCCACAAATACAACCCTGTATTTTACATTTATCACCGTTATGGTTTTCAAAGTGTACCACTTATTTATAGTCCCATTTTGCTTGTCTGGAAAACCATACAAGTGGTATCACACAGTGCGTGTTTCATAGGATTTTATGTTTTCATTTAATATTATGTTTCAAAGATGCATCCATGTTGTTGCATGCAGATGCTCATTCATTTTCACTGCAAAGTAATCCTGTTATGTTGTATAAATGTACCACAATTTATTCATTCTCTTGTCAAAAGTATCTCATTTTTACATTGTTTGGCTACTGTAACCATTTATGTGATAAAAGTTCTGATATGTGTCTCCACATGTGCAGAAGTTTAAGGAATGAATGTGTTCAATTCTTCAGCATTGCACCTATTTTTATGTCCCCAAAAGTGTTTCCCAATTTATAATCTCACAAACAGTGATTCATATTGATCCACATACTCTCCAATACTTTGTAAGGCCACCATCCTAATTTTAGGATATAAGATGGTATTTAACTGTGCCCTCAATTTGCATTTTCCTGCTGATTAATGATGAACATGTCTTCCTGTTTATTGGCTAATTCACAATTCATCATGGATGAAATTCTAACTCAGATTTTTTTTGCTCATTTTCCTCCTAACTTGTTCACTCTTTTCTTACTGTTCCATAGAAATTTTATATATTCTGTAGGCTGATTAACTGTTTTTTTCCAATCTGGAGTGACCAAGTACAAGTAAAAATTGAGACAAAGAAAGAGCAGTAGCATGAAGGCAGACAACTGGAAACACCAAGAGTGGCAATAATGTTCTCAAACCACTTTTGGAATACAGGTATCTTAAAATACTCAAAATATAAAATACTATAAAAGAGATACAGCTTTATAATATTTCATAAATCAAAAGCAAAAGTTACAAGATGAAATTAGTGCATTCTAACTGTGATGTCTGCAACATAATCTTCAGGTGTCAAGTGACAAAGATGAATGACACTGGTCACAAGTTAAGCAAAGCTCCCATTTTTACCATAATATTTCATGTATTTTTTTAATCACATTGTGCTTGTTTCCTATTTAAAATGCATCAGAGACATTTTGAAAGTGGTGAGTTTCAATGTGTATACACAAATATACAAAAACTGAATTACCAAACTAAATTTTATATAAATGAGAATCCCACAAAGACCTATTTTTCAGATTTGGCAATTAGCTCCATCTCTGTGTCTCTAAGTTGGTTTTCTTTTACTTAACACTGAAATCATTCTGATAAAACTCTCAGGATTTCTACCCTTTAGATTAAAGACAAATAAGAAAAAAATTCCCAGATAGTCCTAATTTTTAGAAGTCTCCAAACATGTACAAAGTAGATGTTAAATGCAATAGTAACAAAACACTAATTTCCTGAAAGAAACTTGCAGTACGTAGTTTTACCAGCCACTCCCCAGGCTTTTTTAGGACTCATTACAAATGAGTTGATGAAAAGCACCAGAGGAAATACAAATACATGGCACACAAAATCTGAATCATGCCCCACACAGATTCTGATGCCTATATGCAATCTGAAGAGAACTTCAGCACCTCTCATGAATTCTACTCTCCCACCTAAATGTGTATCCCCTTTTCAGTATCAATTTCAGGACTTACCTCAAGTCTAACTTTTCCATTGTCTTACAGAAGTTATACCCTGATGGGTGCAGGTGGCTCAGGCCTAACTACTCAGGAGGCTGAGATCTGAGGATCATGGTTCAAAGCCAGCCCAGACAGGAAAGTCTGTGAGCCTCTTATCCACAAATAACCATCAGAAAACTGGAAGTGGTACTGTGGCTAGCCTTGAGTAGAACAGCTCAGGAACAGGGCTCAGGCCCTGAGTTTAAGCCCTGCAATGGACCAGGAAAAAAAAAAAATTCTGTCCTATTCATGCAAGGACATTGCTCTTATAAATTCAAGTGTTCTCTGCTCCATCATTAATTTTCTCCTGAAATCACAAAATCATTGGCAGATACGTTTCAGAAATTATAACCCTTTAGCCCTACACATTCCTTTGATGTTATTTTTAACATTACAAACAAACGTGTACTCGTGATTGTAAACATACTTCCTGCCAAATGTAGCAGGCTCCTATGAACTTTTTCTTCACACCACACCATACCACTGAAACCTATTGGTAACATCTGGCAGGATTCCAAAACCCCCTCACCCACTGTTCCTTTGGCTCCCCTCATCCTATCTCACCGGCAGCTTCTCACCCACCTTTGTTGGCTCCTCCTTTCCTCCTTGACCTCAGAAGTTCAAGTTCTTGTCCTTTCTAATTCATCAGTAAATACTATTGACAATCTACACAATATATTCAGAACCTTACTACTTCTCATCAGCCCCATGGTACCAATTCAGGTCTAAGTCTGCATTACCTCAACTTGGGTTTTGCCATCGTTTAGTAATTTCCATACCGACTTCTACCCTTACCCATCTCATCAAAGCATCCTGACAGCCTCACATACATCATACAATGGAACGTCTTCTCCCCTCATCTCTCAATGGCTTCTATTTTACTCAGAACAAGTCAAGATTTTAAAGTATTAAAAAAAATCCTACATAATTTTTCTCCCAATCCCTGACCTCATTGTCTACTGACGGCCTTCCTATACCTTCTACAGCCAAATTCTTACCCCAGGATCTTTACACATGCTGTCCTCTGTATGCTTTCCCTCAAGATTAGTACGCTTACATGCATCTCTCCCTATCTTTAGACCTTCCCTCAAATATTTCCTGGGCAAAGTCTTTTAAAATTACAACAAGTTTGTTCCCCATTGCTTGATTTTTGTCCAATGCTACCAGTAACGTTCATATCACTTCTATTTCTGCTTTTCTGTCACCCACCAATGTATAAACATCCATGGTGCAAGAGCTTTGTTTTACCTCTATTGCATCTTCAATGCCAAAGAAAAGGGTCTAATAACCACTAATGAGCATCAATAAATATTAACAAGCCAATGGGACAACTACTTTCTCATGGCTAGAAATAAATGGGAATCATTCTGAACTTATAAACAAAATAATCTAAATAATTATGGAACCACAGATAGATTTTTGATGTACAGTAATCATTCTATAATTTGTTCCAAAGTGGTTTAAAAGACAACCCAAAGACTACAGAGTACATTGCAGCTAGTACCATCCACAGACTGTTTACTTTCCACTAACTGCTACCACATTCAACAATGGATGGTTTGCAGAGCTGTACCACCAACACACAGGAAAATATTATAAAAATGTTCATTCCAAACTGGTTCCAGACAAAGAACCAAGTATTTTTTGAATGAAGGAAGTCTAAAAATAAAGGGCAGATATTTTTAAATATTTAAAACATTTGCATAGAAATGATTTTAGACCCACAAAAAAGTTGCAGATACTGCAGTCACTCCCTT